GCCGGTCTCCGATAGATGTGACACCCGGGGCAGGGTAGTTTGGGCGGAAAGTGGCCCTGCTCAGGTCTCTGGTTATCCCGAGTGTTTGTGTTTCAGGATGAAGACCATTCTCAGCAATCAGACTGTGGACATCCCCGAAAATGGTAGGGGACTTGACGTTAGTCTTTTTCTTACGCCTTTACTGCGCGCTCTGCCCCCGGCTCCGCCGCCTCACCAATGCGTTCTTTCCTAGTGGACATCACTCTGAAGGGGCGCACGGTGATCGTGAAGGGCCCCAGGGGCACCCTGCGGAGGGACTTCAACCACATCAATGTAGAGCTCAGTCTCCTCGGAAAGAAGAAGAAGCGGGTAAGGTGTTTGTGTGTGTGTGTGTGTGTGTTTGACACCTTCATTGCTTATTTGGAAGGTTGTGCTTTAATAACACCGTATTTGGCTGCTTTAAAAAGGACAGAACTGAGGTTTAATGTTTTAGCTGAAAATTTGGTGTCAAAAATTGTAGGTAGTTTTAGCGAAGTTGGAGAACCAAATTCCTGAAGAGGGGACTATCAACAAAGCTCCATGCCGGCAGCCCTCGGTAGTGGCAGGTCTTAGCAACTGTTGCAAGTTCCTCGGGATTGTTTTTGTAAGAATCTTCGGAATCGGGCAGTAGACTTCTTCACACTTAGCATTTTAGTTTTCTAGGAGTGAAGTGGGTTGCCGTTCCTTTGTAAAACTGTGTGCCTGTGATGAACAGTGATAGCTGTTAATTACTGCGGGGTTTATATGTGGTTACATCTTTCCAATTGAGAAGCATGTGCTTTAACTAGGCCTCATGTTAGAATGTAGTGTAATTCTCTGGGTAAATGGACTTTTCTTCCAAGTTACTTATTACTGGAAAGAATCTGCTAAAGTTTTTATTCTGTTACAGCTCCGGGTTGACAAATGGTGGGGAAATAGAAAGGAACTGGCCACAGTTCGCACCATCTGCAGTCATGTACAGAACATGATCAAGGGAGTTACACTGGTAAGCAAATCCCTCAGACAACTCTTTAAGGGGCGGCTGTACTTTAGGCGGCGGAAGTGTCTACTGTAGGGAATAAATTATACATGTGATTTACTGAAATTTCTGAGCTCTAGAATGTGGGGAAAGGTGATCTTAGTAAAGGTGATCTTGTTTGCTTAGGGTCTCCTTTAAGTGTTTAGGATTAAGTGATCAATGCAAGGAAAGACCTGATGGTCTTAGTGGGGCTGAGGGTGTGTTTTGTTTTGCTTTTATTGCAAATTGTAGCACATCGGGTAGGTTTTGATTCATTTATGGTGTGCCTCGCATCACCAAGGCCTCTTGATAGGGATAGGAAAAGATGGATCTGATTTCTGAGCTCCCTGTTCATTTCCCTAAAGGCATATTTGATATCACTGATCTCCTTCCAAATCCGTCTCCCTGGCCTTTAAAAAAAAATTGATGCTTCTGTCTTTGCTGAAATGCTTTTCTTTTAATTAAAAGTCTGTCCTGGAGTACACCTGATAATAGCAACTTGTACTGGACTCCATTATAAGCCTATCTTGCCATGTCTCCCTTTGTTTACCCCTTGCTCCCAACCTAATAAGTTCCTTGAGGGCAGAGTGATTGTCTTAATATCCTCCGTTCTAAGGCTTGGCTCAGGTGACAGTTATAAAACCTTGACGAGTGCTATGTGAGGACTGTTTTATTTTTAAATTATAAGTATCCTACAAATTTTTAAAACGATTTCTTGCCTTTCAAATTTCTCAGCATTGCAAATTGTTTACTTAATGTAGGGCTTCCGTTACAAGATGAGGTCTGTGTACGCTCACTTCCCCATCAACGTCGTTATTCAGGAGAATGGTTCTCTTGTTGAAATTAGAAATTTCTTGGGCGAAAAATACATCCGCAGAGTTCGGATGAGGTCAGGTATGTGCGTTCCTTCTGATGGTTCAGAAATATTTCCTTTGTACTTGTGAAGGCTGGTAGTTTGGGTTAGCTATGAATACAACCAAATATATTTCAGAATTGTCTGTTTTGATGATGCTTATAATAACTCTTGGTGCTAATTAAAGGCTTTATACCAATTGCAATTCCTGAAGGCTTTTGCATTGGAGTAGTTTGCAGGGCATGGTAGTTGTGTTTAATTCGCTTTGCAAACTGAAATCCTAAAAAAGACTATTTGGATAGCAGTTAATAGCATAGAATGCCTAGGTTCAATTCTGAGGCCTCACAATGAACCTTGGGCCAGTTGTCTCTGTAGCTCATTTTCCTTGTCTGTAAAATTGGGAACATCTCATGAGCTAAATTTGAAGTGCACTTAGAGCAGTTCTTGCCTGATACATAAACACTGAAGCATTAGAAAATTGTGTGTTAATTCTTACCTGAAGATAATTTTTCTATTGATTTTTGAAGGGAGGGAGCGAGAGAGAGAGAGAACTATTGATTGCTTGCTTCCTGAATTGACTAGACTTGGCCAGGGGTCAAACCTGCAGCAAACCAGGTACATTCCCTTGTGCCCTTGACTGGGAAACCCCAGATCATTATTGTTCAGGGTCCACACTCTAATCACTGAGTCACACTGGATAGGGTGTAGAAAATTTTAAAGCTTATAAGCTCTCGGTGCTTTTTATTCCATTGGGGTCTGGAGGGATGGAAATGCAAGCTTTCTATAGCTAAAATGTACTAGCTGAATGTCATCTTCTCTACTCCTTAATTGAATCAGCTACTTGAGTAACTACTATGGGAGAGATTCATTCAAGCAGATACACAAACAAGAGTTTTTTTTTTTACAAACATTTTAAATGGAATAAATTACTACTTGATTTAAATATTTTTAAATTAAGTATTTTCTCTGCACATCTGATTGTATGTTGACACTATGCAAATACCTTCTACCCTTTTAGGCGTTGCTTGTTCAGTATCTCAAGCCCAGAAAGATGAGTTGATTCTTGAAGGAAATGACATTGAACTTGTATCAAATTCAGGTTTGTATGTTTATTATGCCTATAATTTTTTTTCTAAATATTATAGTTGAATATGTGGTATTCTGTTCATTTGGTGAGCTTTTTTAATTGTGGAAATTGAAAGCTTTCCTCAAAATACTCAGGTTTTAAATTGGTTTGGCTGGTAAAGTAATTGCCTTATCTCTTATAGCTGCTTTGATTCAGCAAGCCACAACAGTTAAAAACAAGGATATCAGGAAATTTTTGGATGGTATCTATGTTTCTGAGAAAGGAACACTTCAGCAGGCTGATGAATAAGATCTAAGGTAGGTTCTTATAGTGTCTTAAGTTTTATTATTGCTTTACTTGGGGGGTATCTTAATTTACTAAGACTTAATGAGTTACAGTGGCAGAAATGACTTGCAATCTGAAACAGTAAATTTGGCAGATAATAAATGAAATTGCATTCACATTTTAAAAAAATGTGAATCTATGTTTTATATTTAGAGTAGAACTTTTCTGGGCAAGGATTTTGATGGAGATTTACAGACATTTTTATTTCTTTTTACAGTTGTCCAGCTATAGAAACACCGAGATGCCGAATGGTTTGCCACATTTGTCAAACTATACAGATGTACAATAAAAGCCTTGTATTGATTTGAGACTTTTTTTCTTAAACTGATAATTCCAACTATTTGGCTGGTAAACAGTTAAGTTTCTAGTAAGACTTCATGGGAAGAGTGACTTCTTTTTTTGAAAGAATTATCAAGCCAAGAATATACCAGTGACAGGCAACACTATGTAGCTGTTTATCATTGGATGTAGAATTCTGGGGGGTGGCCTGAAGGTAATCTAATTTTGCAGAGGCATAAATTTGAATCTGAGGCAAGCGTGTCTGAATTATTTGTCTGTATACCAGTAACTTAGTCTGCGAAGGGAAACAAAGTGGTACACCCTTAGTAAGTATTGGGAGATGCAGTTAATTTGTGTTTATGATAAACACTAGAGGCCTGATGCACGGAATTCGTGCAAGCCCCGCCCTTGCAGCCCCCGGCTGCCGGCACTGGCTTCCCTCTGGCACCTGGGACCTGGGCTTCCCTCCCGCCTGGTTTCATCTGGAAGGACGTCGGTCTAACTAGCATATTACGCTTTTATTATTATAGGTTATTATATTATTTTCCATATGAATAATTCTAAACCTATTTTTGCCTTACC